TATACATACTATTAATACATAAAACCTATGCATAAATTAAACTTAATTATGTTATGTTAGGATACCGTAAAAACTCTATTTTCGGATAATCAATTTAATCAAAAGCATAGTTTAGGTGCCGTAAATTCCATTAATTGGGCAAGAATTTTAGCACAAATTGTGTATTATTTTCATTCGTATTTTCAACTTTTTTCATCGTTAAATATTTTGCCAAGTTCCCCTGAAGCCAGTAATATTCACCTTCAATATTGTGTTCCAACGGGTAATTTTGGTGACATATTAGCTGGTTATTATGCTAAACGTATGGGATTACCAATCGAGACACTAGTGGTAGCTACAAATTCCAATGATATTCTAGATAGATTTTTTAAAACGGGGAGATATGAAAAAATTGTGAATAGTGAAGGCGATGAAAGAGGGAAACAAACAGTACATGAAACTTTAAGTCCAGCAATGGACATTACTGTTTCAAGTAATTTTGAAAGATTGTTATGGTATCTTGCGTGTGAGTCCATTGATAATAAATCTAGCGAAGAAAAAACGAATCTTGCAGGATCAATTGTGAAAAAATGGATGGAGGATTTGAAATCCAAACAGTGCTTAATTGTGGAAAAGGCACAGTTGGAATTGGCATTACGAGATTTCAAAAGTGCTGGGATATCTGACCAAGAGGTAAGATTCGGAGTGTGTGACCTTTTGAATTTATTTAATTTTAATAAATTTATTTTGGATTAAGTAGACAATGGAAACGATCCGTCGTTATTATGCACCACAAGACTCCAGAACTCAAATTTCATATGTTTTGGATCCACACACTGCGGTTGGTGTAGCAGCGGCTGATAAGCAAAAGATTTCTTCGTAAGTTTTATCCATAATCATGTTAACAAATATTTTACTACATCTAATTTATTTTCAACTTAATACAGGAATACATATCAAATTTGTCTTGCAACAGCACATCCAGCAAAATTTTCAGCGGCCGTTGAAGAATCATTAAAATCATTTAATGAATTCAAATTTCAAGAAATTTTGCCAACAGAGTTCGTTGGGCTATTGGAAAGGGAAAAAAGATGCGTGTATGTAGAAAGAGCTGATCCCGAAATGGTTAAAAAAGTTATTGAAAGCGAGTTAGGAAGGGAGATCATTTAATTACCTGAATGATTATAATCTGAAGATAATATATATTCTCATGTTATAGATTATCACACTTTAAAATATAAAAACTAACTTAGATATACCTAGTCTTATGAGTGTGGTTTCCTTTTAAGAAACCCCTGAAAATCGCTTTTGAAAAAGGCTTACCGTTGCAA